TTAACTTTCTACTAGTATGTTTCTTCCTTAATTTCTCATTATCCATAGCTTTGATACCATTCTATATCTCTTTATTGAAGAAGTGTTTTGGAGATCTGACATCCATTGTATCTTTGGAAGGTTTTGAATTAAAAGAAAATCTTTCTTAGGAAGAGGTTCTGATGGAGATTTTAGACCGAAAAGTCTAGAAGTTGAGAAATAAAGAAGTCTCTTATGTGAAGGTTCTTCGGAGGAATTAATTAGTTGTGGGTTACTTTGGAGGCCGAAGACGATATGATGTCCCATTATCCTCACCCCTTTCCCAGTACTACTACTCTAGCTTAAGGTATTAACTCTTTATGGTTCATTCTTTTGGAATCATGCATTTTAGTCATTCCCATGTTTCCATATGTATGCATGTTCATGAAAAAAAACTTGATTTTGATGCTATGATTTAGCTTGGAGTGATTATCCATGTTTATGTGCATTTTGATGAGATTTACATTCATGTTGGATTGTTAGTTTCTCCCCTACTCTATTCATGTTGCTTGAGTCTCATTCGAGGACTAATGTTCTCAAGGGGAAGATATTATAGCACCTTAGAAATTGGAAAAAAGGGAAGGACTTCAAGTTTTAACTACTAGTTGTGTTTTATGAGACTAGTCTATGGTTCGTTGAAACTTCTACAGGTTGTAGATGACACTCGTAGTAATGAGGTTGAGTTTAGGAAGAATTCATGTTTCTAAAGTTCAACCTATGAGTGAACATGACAGATCATTTTTGGATTATGAGTCATAGATAGGTTCCGTAGAGGGGTTCCAGACTTGGTAAAATTTTGAACTTGAACTTGGGTTTTACGAGTTGGCTCTACGAGTCATAGAAGGTTTGATTGAACGTAAGAAGGTCTTGTGGGAAGTGAAAGAATTTTGGATTTCTCAAGTTGGTTCTAAGGTTTACAAGTACGGGCGGTAGGAAGTTCTATAGACCGTAGTTCTGAACCGTATCCGGCAATTTATGTTTAAGGGTATTTGAATCTTGTCCTATGCATTTTATACCTATACTATGTCGTTTTGACCCTAATTCTAAGACCTAGAACTAACTTTCAACTTCTAAATCTACCCAAACCCTCTCATTCTCTCAAATCTTTAATTCCCATCCACATTTGTCATCTTGAAATTCTCTCAAGCCTCAAGGAAGAAATCTAGGGTTCAAGCTTCAAGTCTCCTTTTTCCTCCGTTGCTTTTGGGCTTTTATCATCAAGGTATGTGAGAATTCACCAATGGATTCCATTTATCCATTGGGTACCAAGAGATTTCAATTCTCCAATTCAATTTCATCAAAATTGGTTAGGTTTTTATCCAATTCTCTTGGGTCCTAATTGTTATGATTCAATTTCTTGATTTTAATCTTATTTTCAATGAATTGATCCAATTACATGTTTTTCAATTGACTTCGTTTGGACCGATGTATTATTCATGATTTTTACTATGGATTTGTGAAGATATTAGTTTATGCAGAAATCTATGAAATTGTGAATAATGATTTATGAAAGCAATGCATGACTATGAAAATAATATTTTATGAATTAAGGTTGCTTTTAAGATTAAAATCAAAGAAATTGTGAAAGGTTTTCTCACATATTAAGAAATTATAATTGGTGAAAGCTTTTCTCACACATGTATGGATAATGATTTAAGGAGCTACTCTATAATGATTTCAGCTTGGATTAGTAACTAAATTGTGATTTTTCATGTATGATGATATGTTTATGAATATGACTATTCCATTGGGATTTTACTTACCAACGAGAGGACATTGAGATGGAGGCTCTCGCGTTAATAGAAGTTGAGTCTCTAGTAGCAATCTCCTTGTCCCTAATTATGTGCCCCCATAGGATTGTCTTAGAAAGACATAGCTAGTGGATCCACCTAAGCTAGAAGTTCATGGTCATTACCTTGGCAAGTAGGACATCACTTTTCGGTGTGGGAAAGGCACCAAATTCCATGTTATAACTCACATGGTCTATGTTGGTTAATGGTAATTATCCTACAAAATGAATTAAGTTACTTTCAAAAGTTTTATTAAGTTTTAATTATGATTTTAAGATGAATGGACCATGTTCATGATTTATGATTCTTATTTAAAGGTTCTACCATGTTTTAGCTTGGTCATGCGGTTAGGACCCAAATTATACCCTAGACGTGACATGTCGTATAGAAGCCCGAAAGGCCCTATACAAGCCACTTAGCATTCATCATACAAGATAATAGAATTTAAAGAATTCAAAATACAGTCTTATATTATAAAGAGTTTGACAAAAGCGAAAGTTTAACATAAGTCTCAAAGCCATCTATTACATCATAAGGAAAATGATTGGGAAATAACTCATACATCACATACAAAGTCTGAAAATGGAAATGACATGAAAGAAATAAACGACTCTTGACCCTCAGATCATGAGGACTCACCAATATGCAAAAGTCCAAAATAATCGACTAGCCACGAGTATGGGGAGTAAGAGCGTTCAACCCTACATTAGTGAAACAATGTAGGACAAAGTATGCATTAGTACATGGAATATACCAAGTATGATACCAATGCGTAATAGTTATGAAATCATGCTAAAAGGACTTTGTATGACATGCAATGACCAAACTAATTCATAAAATAACATGTTAGAAAACATAAGTCGTAATCATGGCCAATGCAAGCTAAACATCTTATTAAACACTTGCGAGATACTTTAGAAAGTAACCTTAGTTCATTATTGTGAGAAGTTTAGCCTTATCTAACATCGACCATGTGAGCTATAACATAGAGTCCAGTGTCTGCCCCACACTAAAAAAGAGGTGTCATTACTTGCCAAGGTAAGAACCATGAGTTTGCGCTAAAGTGGATCCACTAGTTAATGTCTATCTAAGACAATCATCATATGGTGACACATAGTTTATGGGACATGGGTAATCACCGCTAGTCCACTCGCGGGTAAGCATAAATCCCTTGAAATAGTCATTAATCGTATTCATCTTATTATTCATGGAAAGTCACAATTAAGTAGCCAATCCAAGCTAGATTTCATTAGAATAGTTCCTTAGTCTTGATTCAACTTAGGTGAGAAAACCTTTCAACCTTATGAATCCTTTTTGTGAGAAAAACCTTTCACAATAACAACAACAACAACATCGATGCTTTACTCTCAAAGCAACGCTAAATTATTTACATCAATTTCATAGAAACAACATGCATATATTCTTAAATTCATCTTTCATAGTTCATTAACTTCACCATATGATCATAGTCTAGAAATCATGGATCATGCATGGGTTCATGTGAATTCAACTTTTAATCATGTAATTACTTCAACTCATGCATAAAAATATAGAAAACAATCAATTGGATCATAATTGAAAAGAACCCATAAATATTAAACAAAGCCCTAATTTTGATTGGAGAATCTGACTTGTAAAATTGGAGAACTTAGGAACTTTACGGAGGAAAGGACTTCATAGGTGAATACTATCATACCTCAATGATATTGAATGAAGTTAGTAATTACAATCTGCAAGCTACACATTTATACACAAAATACACCTTTAACCGACTATGACCTAATTGTAACTAACTGCTGATGTGTGCTAATACGCTCAAATTACACCTCCTTACAAAAGTATAAGC